CTCCGTCTCTGAAGTCTTCTCCGTCTCCTCCGCCATCCTCGTCCTTCTCTTCTTCCCTCGCCTCTTCTTCCTCCTCTTCTTCCTCCTCCTCCTCCTCCTCACCCTCCGTCTCTGAGGTTTCTGAGGTCTCCTCCGTCTCTGAAGTCTCCTCCGTCTCTGAGGTCTCTTCTGTCTCTGAGGTCTCCTCCATCTCCTCCGTCTCCGTCTCCTCCCCCCCTCCTCTTCCTCCTCCTCCTCCTCCTCCTCCTCCTCCTCCTCCTCCTCCCCCTCCTCTTCTCTCAGGTCTCCTTCGGCTTCTCCGACTTTGAGGTCTCCTCCGTCTCTGAGGTCTCCTCCGTGTCCTCCGTCTCTGAGGTCTCTTCCGTCTCCTCCGTCTCTGAGGTTTCCTCCGTCTCTGAGGTTACTGAGGTCTCTGAGGTCTGAGATCTCCTCCGTCTTTGGGTCTCTTCCGTCTCTGAGGTCTCGTCTTCTCCGTCTCTGAGGTCTCTTACGTTTCTGAGGTCTCCTCCGTCACTGAGGTCTCCTCCGTCTCTGAGGTTTCTGAGGTCTGGGAGGTCTCTGAGGTCTCCACCGTCTCTGAGGTCTCTTCCGTCTCTGAGGTCTCCTCCATCTCCTCCGTCTCCGTCTCCTCCTCCCCCTTTCCTCCTCCTCCTCCTGCTCCTCTTCCTCCTCCTCCTCCTCCTCCTCCTCCCCTGCCTTTTCCTCCTCCCCCTCCTCCTCTTTCTCTTTCTCCTCCTCCTCCTCCTCCTCCTCTTCCTCTTCCTCCTCCTCAGCCAACGCTATACATTGCAACCGTCGGGACATTTCGAGGATCCTCCGATTGCACCCCATGTGCGCACATTGGTGTTGGGTGCAAGTCTGTGCGCAAGTGCGCGCGCGAGCTCAGAGAAGCGGCGCTTCCCGTTCCCGGGGGGAAAGGTTCCCCTCAAAAGGGCCGTTTCGCTCGAGACATCCTCGAACGAGTGAGATGCTGAACTCGTATGTTTGAGACGCCTTTCGTAAAACATGAGGCTCTCGCTCGAGACATCCTCGACACATGAGTTTCGGAGCTCGCTCACGAAATTCAGCGACTCGTTGGAAATTGCCGTTTCGCCTGAGACATCTTCGAACAATTGAAATGTTGAAGCCGTGTGGTTAAGACGTCTTTCGTTACACATGAGACTCGCTATAGACATTCTCGGACAACGGCATTCGCAGCATCTTTGCTCGAGGTCCTGTATCCTCCATCTCTTCCGTCTCCTCCGTCTCTGAGGTATCCTCCGTCTCTGAGGTCTCCGTCTCCTCCGTCTACTCCGTCTCTGAGGTCTTCTCCGTCTCCTCCGTCTCTGAGGTCTCCTCCGTCATCCTCTTCCCTCGCCTCTTCTCCCTCCTCCTCCTCCTCCTCCTCCTCCTCCTCCTCCTTCATCACTCACGCACGCCGTACACTCCCCCCCTGCCCGTCGCCCCCATAACACATCCCGCACGCTCGCCGTACATTCTCCCCGCCCGTCGTTCCCATAACACATCCCGCACGCTCGCCGTACATTCTCCCCGCCCGTCGCCCCCATAACACATCCCGCACTTACGCCGTACATCCCCCCTCCCGTCGCTCCATAACACAACCCTGCACACACGCGCGCACATACGCACGCAGCCGCTCACACAGGCACATATACAGGCATGCGTACATACACGCACGCTCGCACCAGAGTGTCCACAGCAACCCCAGGCAACCACTAAGCTCTTGGCGTGCTCAACCAGACGTTATCTGACAAGCCTTGTGGACAAAGCGGCGCTTCCCGTTCTTGTCCGGTCAGGTTCCCCCAACACGGCCGTTTCGTTCGAGGCATCTTCGAAACATTGAGATGTTGAAATCGTAGTTTGAGACTCCATTCGTTACACAAATGAGGCTCTCGCTCGAGACATCCTCGAAACATGAGCTAGTGAGCTCGCTCGCGAAATCTAATGAATCTCTCGGCCATGCGAGTCAACGGCTCGGCGGGTTAAAACGGCCATGCGGGTTAAAGCGGCCACGCTCGATCCATGTAGTGCTCCACGGTCAGGCGGGTCAAAATGGCCATGCGGGTTAAAACGGCCAGGCGGGTTCAACGGCCGTTTGGGTTAAATGATCCCGTCCATTTTGGGTTGGGAACACCATCCGCCTTAGAACGGCGAGGCCGTTTAAAACGGCCAGGCGGATTAAGGTACACAGGTTGGCGATGCGCCCCTTGCATACCCGCGTTTTTACGGCCGCACACACACTCACACACAGGCACACACATACCGGCACACACACACATACACGCACAGGCAAACACGCTACGCACATACGCACGCACCCGTACAGAGGCAACGTGGTACAGCTGACCAAAGCAACCACAGGCAACCACCAAGCCCAAGCAGGACAGGTGATCAACATCATCAACATCATCATCATTATCATCATCACCACCATCATCAGCATTAGCACCATCATCAACATCATCATCGTCACCATCATGGACATTATCAGCGTCATTGCCATCGTCATCATCATCGTCAGTGTCATTGCCATCGTTGACTGCCACACGAAATCTTATGCCAGGGTGCTGTAGGTCGAGGGCCCCTGCGAGCGCACCGAGTTAGCCGACGGTCAGTTGGATCGGTTTGACCAGCTCGAAGCCAGAGGCAAAAGTCCACACCCCTGGTACAGTGCCGTTTTTTATGCATGCTCCGCGTGCGGACCATGTATCAAAAATAAAGGGTTGATTCATAAATGCAGGGAAGAGTTTATGCATTAATTTCTTCATACGTCAATCATGTATTTTAATTACTAGGTTTTAAAATCCTATGTATAGGCGGAGTATCTGTCTTTAATTCCTAGGTTTTTAATTCCCTGGTTTAAACTGCCCTGCCTGTAGGCGCAGTATCATCCTCCCGGCAGGATGCGGGGCTTGACCCCTTCGCTCTGCCTCCCCTGGCCCCGCCGCCCGGGCACTCCGCGGCAGGCCCGGCGCGCCCTGGCCCCGGGGGCCGACCTCAGCGCCGGGAGGCATCCGGGAGCGCCAGAAAGCCTACACTCCAGGCGATGCTTAAGAAAACCCAAGTTTTCGGCCAGAATCTCGATTATTCTTAATGTTTCAATGTAGATCCTAAGATTTGAATTAACATTCTGGATTTTCATTCAAATTCTGAGACTATGAATTTCTCAACCCATGATTTCTAAAGCATTTCGCAGGGTGTACTTGAATGCAGCTGATTCGACAGCCCTCTGTCTTGCTTTACACCAGCCGTTGTGGAAACTCTTGGGGGAACTCTTGGGAAGAGAAGAAAGGAGGAAGATTTGAGGGAGAGTGTCTCAGAGGCCTCCAAGTTGACCAAGACGCCTCCAAGACGGCCCAGGAGGGCCCCCACGACGCTCCAAGAGGAGCCTGACGATCCCTGAATCGTTAACTTTCTTTGGGTTTGTGAGAGATTTTAGCGTTCTCGCCTTTCCTGGCCTGCGACGCTCCAATATTGCCCCAGAGGTCTTCAAGATGCTCCAAGACGGCCCAAGGAGCCCCCTGGAGGACCTCGAGACGGGCCAGGAGGGCCCCGAGGCGGCCCAGGAGGCCTTCAAGACGGCCCCAAGAGACTTCCAAGACGGCCCCAAAGCTCCCCAGGATGGCCCCACGACGGCCCAGCGTGCCTCCGAGGGCCAAGAGAGGCTCGAGAGGCCCCCTGGGCTCCCCGAGAAGCCCCGGAGAGGCCCCTGGGACTCTCCAGGGCCTCTTTTGGGGCTTCCTGGGAGCCTCTCGGGCCAAGAGGCTCCCAGGAAGCCTCCCAGGAGGGCCCGAGGGGGCCCCAGGGGGCCTCCTCGATCTCCTCCCCTCCGTCGGGCGCGTCCCCGCAGAGGCTGACTCGCGAGGGCCAAGCAGAGCTGGCCCCGCGTGCCGCCCCCCCCCCCCCCCCCCCCCGCGTTTTGATCTCTCCCCTGGCTCCATCTCCTGCTCTCCCCTGGCACGCCGCAGCAATTGGGGCTTGCAGCAGGGGCCCGACCACGAGAAGCCTTCCACGAGAAGCCCGACCCTGAGACCCCAGGAAGTCCATCGATTTTTTGGCGTGTGGACGCCACGCTTTCCATCGCGGAACCATCGAAACCATCGAACCCCAAGACACTCAGGGCAGCCTGGAGGCAAGCAGGGTGCTTCTTGGCATGGGTCTCCCCTGTACATGGGGAGGCCGTTTGTCCCGTCCGCCCGCCCCAGTTGCACTGTCGCGTGGTGCCGCTTGCACCGTGGAGCACCGGCTCCGTTCTCACTTTGTGCCGCCTGCGCCGTGCTTCCCGTTGGCGCGGGCTGACACTCCTCTCGCCCCCTGCAGCCCGATGCTCTCCCCTGGCAGTAGATAGCTAAGAGCTGCCTCGTTGCTTGGAGAGTCCGCGCTGGAGATTTGCGCCTATCCAGTAGTGAGGAGGTGTAAGCACCTTCGAAGATATCGCGGAGCGCCGGATGCCGATCTTTCCCGCCCCCAGGCAGCGGGAAGGTGTCCGGCTCCGATGCTCGGCGAGATTCTCGGGGGCAAGTCTCCGAGTCGGTGGAGGTGGACAAGGATGTGACAGGACACTGAGGTGCTGCGGGCGACCAGGCGGATTAGTTTCTGAAGCGCACGAAGCCCCTGGAGTAAAGCATATTCACACAGACACAAATAAACGTCGATTCTTCGGATAATATGGGGCAATACGGGAAGTGGAGGGGGAAGACACAGCTCCAGAAAATTTGGCTACAAATTGGGAATCCTGGAATTTGTGTCCAGTTATTTGTGTGTCCCTGGGCCCCTTCAAAGCCGAGCAGGCATCGTCACAAGTGCAGGACAGAATCTTCGAGCGCGCGCGACGGTCCTAGTTCCTCTTGGTCTGCAACTGCCCAGAGCAACACCATGAGCAGCACATCTCGATCATCGGACCGCCCACCAAGGAGTGCATGCTTTCCTGCCGACCCCCTGGTGCCAGAGCTGCGCCGCGGCTTCTCTTGCCGACGCCGTGATTTTGCCACCATCCGTACAGCATTTTCGGCTCGAGCCGTCGGGTTCCGACCTGCGCGCACGCGGAGTGTCATCGACTCGTCCGTGGCGGGTGAGGGTTGCCGTTTTCAGGAATGACCCGGTATCGGGGAGCGTCAGAGGGCAATCCAAATTACTCACCGAAGCGGCAGAGTTGGAGTGGCCCAGAATCATGGCAGAGTTCAGCGAAGCTCGACGATGATGTTTGGAACGGCTTTTCTCGCGAGTGGGAAGGCGAGCATGGTGAATCGTATTCGATTGATTCACCGAAGTCTTCCAGGCAGTGGTCGTGCACCCGCTGGTCGAAAGATGGGCACTCCAAGGTTTTCACCCTGGCTCCAGACAAGGCATCGGGACGGCTTTGGTGGGGCATCTCTGGAGCATTCTACTGCGAAGTTGGCGCGGAGGCATCGGATCATACTACTTTGAGTTGGTTCAGGCCAGGCTTTTGGAAGCCCTCGTTCGTTTGGTGGGCCAAAGATAATTCACAGGGCGTGGCATCTCGACGTGCTCACGAGTCATCACGTAAGGTGGCTTTGCAGGATTCCTCTCAAGGCATCTCATGCCGACGTGCCGACACATCCACAAGCGAGGGCGCATCGCGGTACCCTCCGCAGGACACGGCAGCTCCACCCGCTGGCAAGTCGGCCGGCAGCGCTGCTCGACAGGACGCCTTCCGCAGCGTCGCCACCCGCTGGGCCCGCAGACCAAAGAGCCGGGACGCTGCGCAGGTCGGCGCGCCCTGCTGGCAGCCCGTGGAGAAGATAGGGGGCCACATGCGAAGCCTACCCCTACCCCCCACGATTTCTGAGGGCGAGGGTGGGGTTCACTTCATCCGGGAGCTCCCGAACGAAGTGAACCCCACCCTCCCCCTCAGAAATCGTGGGGGGTAGGGGTAGGCTTCGCATGTGGCCCCCTAGAAGACCCGCCCTGGCCGCGCCGACGGCGACGCCGCCCGGGCGCCCGCGTGGGGCCCCGACGCCGCCACCGAGGCCGGGAGCCCCGCGGCGGAGAGCGAGCGCTCCGAGGAGGCGGCCGCGGGCGGAGCCGCCGAGGGCGGCGCCGAGGCGCACCCGGCCCCGGGCCCGCCAGAAGCGGGCGGGTGGGCAGTGGTCGGGAGCCCTGCGACGGGGGTCGATGCAAACGGGGGTCAGTCAGAGCGCCCGATCTTGCAGGATCCTGCAGGGCCAGGGTCGCACTGACCCGGGTTTGGGTGCAGGACCCTGCAGGATCTTTCGCACTGACCCGGGTTTGGGTGCAGGATCTTGCAGCGGGCCCCCCGGGCCCCCCGGAAGCGGGCGGGTGGGCAGCGGTAAAACGACGCGAAGATCGGGACAAAGTCGGGTCGGGATAATGCGAAATCTCTGAGAGTCGGCGGGTTTGGAGGATGTATTGGGCGCCGCGGCCGCTCCAGAGCGTTCCGGAACGCTCTGAGAGCGCTCCGGAACGCTCTGGAGCGATTTATCCCATTCTAGCCCTGTTTTAAGCGGGTCTGCACGAACGGGATGGGCACGGAAAGAATTGGCACAGTGCTCAACAGCAGTTCCTGTTCATTTTGAGCAGGGCTCGCTGTCCGCGCCGCCGCGGCCTGTGTCCACTTGAGACAGGAGGCCGCCTGCCCAACAGCGGCCGCTGTTGGTTTGGGACAACGTTTGTTGTTGGGCATTGTACCCATTCTTTCCGTACCCATTTCGGGCGTCCAAAGTGGGGGGCCGATTTTGCATCGTCGGACAGGTCGGAGGACCTGCTGGTGAGCTGGAGTCGTAAGAGTTGATTCTCAGGCTCACGCCGCATCGCCGACCTCCAAGAGGAGCCCAGGAAGGGCCGGAACCCCCTGATGAGCTCGGGCCGGACGGCCCCCCCCCTTCCAAATCGACCCGACCGGGCTCTGGGGGGAGTGGTTTGGGGAGGGGGAAGCATCTCGCACGCCGATGATCCCCAAGAGGTCGGCGGAAGGGCTCTTCTGGATGAGATCCGGAAAGGGCCTGGAAGGGGCACTTTAGAGCCCCTTTTGGGCCTGCTGGCTCCGAAAGGAGCCCCAAAGGGCCCCTTTCGGGCCTTCCTCCTCCTCCTCCTCCTCCTCCTCCTCCTCCTCTTCCTCCTCCTCCTCCTCCTCCTGTCGCTCCTGCCCCTTTCGGGCCCTTCTCCTCCTTCTCCTCCTCCTCCTCCTCCTCCTTCTCCTCCTCCTCCTCATGTTGGTCACCCCCCACTGCCACCCGCCCGACAGAACAGCTGACCGAGGGCCGCCTGGCGTGCAGAGGCCGCTCGGTGTCCGAGGGCTCTGGCGAGCCGCGTGCGCCGGCCGACGAACCCGGAGACCTCGAGCTGCCAGGCCTGCGGGCGCTGGCGGCGGGCTGGATGCCCGGCGTGGTCGGGTGCCTCGCGCCCATGCCCTCCGTGCTGGCCGTTCGGCAGGGGCATCGATGGGCCAATTTTCCACCACCACTAGAATGTGTAGGACGGGGGCGGGGAGGATGGGGAGGTCCTCCTCCTCCTCCTCCT